TCTCTGTTCTCTGTTCTCTGTTCTCTGTTCTCTGTTCTCTGTTCTCTTTTTCCATAGTGAGTTAGAACATAGAGCAGTACAGCACAGTACAGGCCCTTCGGCCCACGGTGTTGTGCTGACCTATTATCCTACTAAGATCAAACTGCCCTGCATACCCTACGTTATGCTATCATCCATATGCCTATCCAAGAGTCATTTAAATGTCCCTAATATATCTGACTCCACTACCACTGCCGGCAGTGCATTCCAGACACTTCCACCACTCTGTGCAAAGAACCTACCTCTGACATCTCGCCATACCTTCCTCCAATCATCTTAAAATTATGCTCCCTCGTAATAGTCATTTCCGCCCTGGGAAAAAGTCTCTGGGTATCCAGTCTATCTATGCCTCTCATCATCTTGTACATCTCTATCAAGTCACCTCTCGTCCTTCGCTCCAATGAAAAAAGTCCTAGCCCCCTCATACTTTCCTCAAGACCTGCCCTCCAGTCCAGGCAGCATCCTGGTAAATCTCCCCTGCACCGTCTCTAAAGCTTCCACATCCTTACTATACTGAGGTGACCAGAAGTGAACACAGTATTCCAAGTGTGGCCTAACTAGCGTTTTATAGAGCTGCAGCATAACCTCACGGCTCTTAAACTCAATTCCCCTGCCAATGAAAGCCAATACACCATATGCCTTCTTAACAACCCTATCAACTTGGGTGGCAACTTTGATGGATCTATGGACGTGGACCCCAAGATCCCTCTGTTCCTCCACCCTGCCAAGAATCCTGCCATTAACCCTGTATTCTGCATTCAAATTCGACCTTCCAAAATGAATCACTTCACACTTTTATGGGGTGAATTCCATTTGCCACTTCTTTGCCCAGTTCTGCATCCTGTCAATGTCCTGTTGCAACCTACAACAGCCTTCCACGCTATCCACACTCCACCAACCTTCGTGTCATCGGCAAACTTAATAACCCATCCTTCCACTTCCTCGACAACAAGGTGCAGGGCTGGATGAACACAGCAGGCCAAGCAGCATCATAGGAGCAGAGAGGCTGACGTTTCGGGCCTAGACCCTTCATCAGACACTTCTTCATCCAAGTCACTTATAAAGTTCACCAAGAGCAGAGGTCCCAGAACAGATCCCTGCAAAATACCACTGGTCATCAAGCTCCAGGCTGAATACTTTCCATCTACTACCACCCTCTGTCTTCTATTGGACAGCCAGTTTTGTATCCAGACAGCCAAATTTCCCTGAATCCCATGCCTCCATACTTTCTGAATGAGCCTACCATGGGGAACCTTATCAAATGCCTTGCTAAAATCCATATGTACCATATCCATATGTACCATATCCACTGCGCTGCCTTCGTCAGTGTATTTTGTCACATCCTCAAAGAATTCAATAAGAATTGTGAGGAACGACCAGCCCCCCTCAAGGCCATGCGGACTATTTCTAATCAAACTGTGCTTTTCCAAATAATCGTACATGCTACCTCTCGGAATCCTCTCTAATAATTTGCACACCACAGAAGTAAGACTGATTGATTGGTCTGTAATTCCCAAGATTATCCCTATTCTCTTTCTTGAACAGGGGAATGACATTTGCCACCCTCCGATCATCTGGCACGACTCCAGTGGACAGTGAAGATACAAAGGTCATTGCTAAAGGGGCAGCAGTCTCTTCCCTCTCTTTTCATAGTAACCTTGGATATATCCCATCTGGCCCAGGGGACTTATCTATCCTCATGTTTTTCAAAATTTCTAGCACATCCTCCTTCCTAACATCAACTTGTTCGAGCATTTCTGCCTGTTTCATGCTGACCTCAAACGTCAAGGTCCCTCTCACTGTTGAATACTGAGGCGAAGTATTCATTAAGGACCTCCCCTGACTGTGCACAAGTTCCCTCCACTATGCCTGATTAGCCCTACCCTAACTCTGGCCATCCTCTTGTTCCTCGCATAAGCATAGAATGCCTTGGGGTTTTCCTTGATCCTACCCAACAATGCTTTTTCATACCCCCTTAAGTCCATTTTTCAGTTCCTTCCTGGCTACCTTTATAGCCCTCTAGAGCCCTGTCCAATCCTTGTTTCCTCAACCTTAAGTAAGCTTGCTTCTTCCTCTTGACGAGCTGTTCCACATGTCTTGTCATCCAAGGTTATTTCACCTTACCATCTGTCCCTTGCCTCTGGGGCAAACCTGTCTAGTACTCGTAGCAACTGCTCCCTAAACAGCCTCCACACTTCGTCATGCATTTCCCTGAGAACATCTGTTCCCAATTTGTTCCTCAGTTCTTCCCTAATAGCATTGTAATTCCCTCTTCCCCCAGTTAAATACTGTCTGCTCCTATCCCTCTCCACGACTGTAGTAAAGGTCAGGGAGTTGTGATCACTATCGCCGAAATGCTCTCCTGCCGAGAGATCTGACACCTGGCCTGGTTCTTTGCCAAGGCCTCCCCTCTTGTCAACCTATCTACATATTGAGTCAGAAATCGTTCCTGAACACACCTGACAAAATCTGCTCCATCCAAACTATTTGCACTAAAGCAGTTGCAGTCTATATTGGGGAAATTGAAGTTATGAGTATGTTTTTCCTTTCAGGCAGATCTGAGGAGGTAGGCTGTGACTGGGACCAGTTCCACTGTAACAATGGAAAATGTATCCCTGAAATTTGGAAATGCAACACAATGGATGAATGTGGAGACAATTCTGATGAAGAGCTGTGCGAGCGGTCAATTCCACCAACTGCCTTTCCTTTTCAGCCTTGTGCATATGATCAGTTCCAGTGTCTGTCAAGATTTACTGCAGCTTATACATGCTTACCTGAGGCCTTGCAATGTGATGGAAATATTGACTGCCTTGATTTGGAAGATGAAATAGATTGTGAACCCCCTAGTTGTGGCAAGTGGCTGAGAAACTTCTATGGAATATTCAGTTCTCCTAATTATCCTGCATTTTATCCACCTGGAAGCAATTGCACATGGCTGATTGATACGGGAGACAGACGCAAAGTCATTTTACGTATCACTGACTTGAAGCTGGATGGCACTGGCCATGGGGATTATGTCAAAGTGTATGATGGGCTGGAGGAGAATTCGCACAGACTGCTACGTGTCCTGACATCCTTTGATTCTCGGCCACCAATCACTGTCATCTCTTCCTCTGGACAGGTGCGGGTGCATTTTTATGCTGACAAAGTTAATGCAGCCAGAGGTTTTAATGCCACCTACCAAGTTGCAGGGTTTTGCCTTCCATGGGAGATTCCCTGTGGAGGCAATTGGGATTGCTATACTGAGCAACAGCGCTGTGATGGTTATTGGCATTGCCCAAATGGACGGGATGAGACCAACTGTAGCTCATGCCAAAAGGACGAGTTCCCCTGCTCTCGTAATGGAGTGTGCTATCCTTTATCAGACCGATGTAATTACCAAAATCATTGCCCAAATGGGTCAGATGAGAAGAATTGCTTCTTTTGCCAGCCTGGTAACTTCCACTGCAAGAACAACCACTGTGTGTTTGAGAGCTGGGTTTGTGATGCCCAGGATGACTGTGGTGATGGCAGTGATGAGGAGAGCTGTCCTGTGATTGTACCGACGCGGGTGATAACTGCAGCAGTCATCGGAAGTTTAATCTGTGGACTACTCCTTGTGATTGCGCTAGGATGTACCTGCAAACTGTACTCTCTGAGAATGTTTGAGCGCAGGTAAGTGGTGAGTGCAAAAATGAAATATTAATGATTTATGGACGAATTGAAGCAAAATCATGCCATTTCAGGTACCACATTATTTATTTCGACTTTATCTTTCGCCAATCTGAATAGACCTAGCAGATGCATTTGCTCTTGTTTTGGGCTGAGCAAAGATTTTCCTCTCCCTTGTATCCAAAAGGTGGCGGCAGTGTCATCAAGCAGGGATGCACAAGAGGAGGAGGAGGGGAAAATAAGGAAATTATTATGGAATCTCTGAACCAGAATTGTTAACTAAATTTGTTCTTGGGCCTTGGCTGTACCAAAGAATGATGTTTGATGTGCGGGAAGAAAAATGCTTGATGGAGAGACAAGCATTTTTTTTAATGGATGAGAAAACTCGCAAGAATGCTAATAGGCTTGCTGGAATAACAGTTTTTATTGCAAAAACCTCAGCTGTCAATGTTAACACAGGTATTACAGCATCCTAACATTGCAATGTCAATATTTAAAGAATGTCAGTTGACTGTGAGTCAATACTTCAGCTAGTAAATAATGGGAAGGATCTATGTTGGAAATAATAACACACATTTTGGTTTCATACTGTGCTTTTCCATTTCCTATATAATACATGGCATCTGGATTGTAATCCTAAAAAGTTTTTATATTTAATTACTTTTGTATCCCTTAATCATTTTTAATCTGACCGAGCAAAGCCTTCCCTTTCCTAAAGCTGAGGTATTTTTGGTCAAATATTTATTATTTCAAAATATATATTTACTGTTGGGATGGATAATGTTGTAATCATAGCACTTAGAATCATACAGGACGGAAGAAGCCCTTCGGCCAACAAAACTACACCAAATCTACACTCAGCCCATAGCCTTGAGTGTTATGACATGAAGTCCTCATCCAAGATTATGAAGTCTGTTGCCTCAACTACCCTCCCAGGCAGCGCATCCAAGATTCTCACCACCCGCCAGGGTGGAGAAAATGTTTCCTTAAATCCCCTCTAAATCTCCTGCCTCTCTCTTTTTAAAATTATGACCCCTTAGTAGCATTTCATCTAAGGGAACAGCTGTTTTCTATCCACCCTGTCTGCCTGTCATTAGTTTTTACACCTCAATCAGGTCCACTGTCAGCATTCTCTGCTCTAAAGAAAACAACCCAAGTTTATCCAGCCTCTCTACATAGCTAAATTGCTCCATCCCAGGCGACATCCTGATGAACGTCCTCTCCACGCCCTCCATTGCAATCACATCCATCTCATGTGGTGACCAGAACTGCATTACAGTACTCCAGCTGTGGCCTAACCAAAGTTTTATTCAGTGTTTTGTACCCTTGTTCCTGTAGATGGTAACTGTTAAATAAGAGCTGTATACACAATATTTTTGTATAGCAAGTCAATAATTTATGGCTTTTTGTTTCCATTTTTAGTGTTCCTGAAGTGTATGATTATTAGTTTTCACTTTCCCACTGGAATCCAGATCACCTAATCTATGTTCAGGTACATAACAATCCAGTAGCAGAACCCAAAGCCCCACATTTATTCTTCCTCACATTTATTCTTCCCCACATCTGATAATCAAACCTTAGATAATCAAACCTTAATTTGAACTTTAGTGCAAAATCATTTCTGCTTGTTCACAATGGTTATATACTAATTCCCTCAATTAAGATTGTTCATTTATAGAGATTATGGATGGTATTATCTTGTTGTACCTTCGTTCAGACTGGATTTCAGGAATAGAATAAATAGGGAGATGAATTTTGATAAAGTGACAGCTTCTCAGTCCAGAAGTTGCTGAAGCTCAGCTGGCCTTTACATCAGATTGTAAGTAAAATTACAACTTTGTTCAGGAAAACTGCAAGTCATTGCTTTTGAGGATAATTGAAATTGACTCCTTCTTGGCAATTGTAGTATTTAGTGAATAGAATTATCACCAGCTCTCCACTTGGTCTCAACCTGAATGTGGAGTCTGGGGATAACTCTGTATTTGCCTGTTGTATTTTGTAATACTTTTATTCTGGAACTTGATTGTCATAGAATTGTACAGCACGAAAACAGACTTGTCGGTCCAACTCGCCCATGCTGAACAGATATCCCAAATTAATCTAGTCCCATTTGTCAGCATTTGGCCCATATCCCTCCAAACCCTTATTCATATACCCATCTAGATGCCTTTTAAACGTTGTAATTGTACCAGCATCCACCACTTCCTCTGGCAACTCATTCCATATATTCACCACCTTCTGCATGAAAAAGTTGGCCGTAACATCCCTTTTTAACTCTTTCCTGTCACGTTAAACCTATACCCTCTAGTTTTGGACTCCCCACCTTGGGGGGGGAAAAAAAGACCTTGACTATTCACCAAATCCATGCCCCTCATGATTTTATAAATCTTTCTAAGGTCACCCCTCAGCCTCCGATGTTCTGGGGGGGAAAACCCTAGTCTATTCAGCCTCTCCTTTATTAGTTCAAACCCTCCGAATCTGGCAACATCCGTGCAAATCTTTTCTGCACCCTTTTCAAGTTTAACATTATCTTGTCTATAGCAGGGAGACCAGAATTGAACACAGTATTCCAAAAGTGATCTAACCAATGTCCTGTACAGTTGCAATATGACATCCTAACTCCTATACTTAATGCACTGACCAATGAAGGCAAACGTACCAAACACCCGGTCATATCCAGTCTATCTGTGACTCCACCTTTAATGAGCTATGAACCTTCACCCCAAGGCCTCTTTATTCAGCAACACTTCCCAGGCCCCTACAAATATATAAATGTTCTGTCCTGATTTGCCTTACCAAAATACAACACCTGATTTTTATCTAGACTAAACTCCATCTACCACTCATGGGCTAATTGGCCCATCTGATCAAGGTCATGTTGGAGTCTGACATAAGCTTCTTCACTATCTACTACACCACCAATTTTAGTGTTATCTGCAAACTTATTAACTATTCCTCCTATACACACATCAAATCATTCCTATAACTGACAAAAAACAGTGGATCCAACACAGAATAAAAGCCGAAAGAACTGCGGATGCCGTAAATCAGGAACAAAAACAAATTTGCTGGAAAAGCTTAGCTGGTCTGGCAGCATCTGAAGGTAAAAAAACAGGTAATGTTTCGGGTTCTGAGGAAGGGTCACCGGACCCAAAACATTAACTCTGTTTTTTCCTTCACAGATGCTGCCAGACCGGCTGAGCTTTTCCAGCAAATTTTGTTTTTGGATCTAACACCGATCCTTGCAGCACACTGCTGGTCACAGGCCTCCCACCTGAATCAACCCTCCACCATTACCCTCTGTCTCCTACCTTCAAGCCAATTTTGTATCCAAATTGCTAGCTGTGAAGAGCAATTTGGAGCATTTGTTGATTTGATTTGTGTGTACAGATATCTAATGGGTAAAATCAACTGATAGCATAGTTATCCAGTGTTTATCACTTCTGAGGCTAAGAACACTCTTCAGACTTCATACAACTTGTATATTAATAGTTGTGTGAAAGTGCCTTGGCATATCAAGGTCTTTATTGTCACACTATGAAGGGCAATGACTTGTGCCTTATTTTGCATCTGAGTAGCTTGATTAGAGAATACCATAAGTAATGTGATTGGTTTTTAAAAACAAAACCTCCTATTAAACGGTTAGTTTATAGTTTAATCAATGGGAGCACTACCATTACAATTTTCAGTCTAATTCATGGAATAGAATAGATCATAGAATCCCTACAATGTGGAAACAGGCCCTTTGGCCCAACAAGTCCACACTGATCCTCAGAGTACCCACCTAAAACCCATTCCCTTATAACCCACACATCCCTGAACACTACGGGCAATTTCGCATGGCCAATCCACCCAGCCTGCACAACTTTGGACAGTGGGAGGAAACCCATGCAGACACGGAGAACGTGCAAACTCCACACAGACAGTTGCCCAAGGGTGGAATTGAACCCAGGTCCCTGGCGCTGTGAGGCAGCAGTGCTAACCACTGTGCCACCAGAGACCTGCAAATTCAAAAATATGACTGGAAATACTTAATGCAGTATAGTATCTCAATCAACACATTTACTTTTTGTAATTAAGTCTAAGGTTTAATTGAGCTATAAGATCTTCTGAGAGTTTATTGAATCATGCGCAGGTTCAGTGGGCCAAATGGTGTTCGCAAAAGTTCAGTACGAGGTTCTACAAGCATGCGAATACCTAATTGGAACCAAGGTCACTTCAGAATGAAATGTAGTCACTCTGTTTCATTAAAGCAGTTATTCAGTTTTCTCAATCTTCACAAAAAATAAACACCCACTTGGAAAAGATGGAAATACTAAGGCAGCATTTATCAGATCATGTATGAAATTTCTGTTTTCACAGGCAGTGCGTGTCATTGACAAGGCCAACAATGCTCATCCCAAAATGTCCCATAGCTGCTGCTGCCTTGAACAATTGCAGTTCGTGTATGGATGTGCACGTTATTAGGTTAAAATTCTGGAAGTTCTTCCTGAACAGTGAAGGAATGCAGTGTAATTCCAAGTCAGAATGAGTTGAGATGATGTGGAATTCGCATGTGTTCCCATGTGTCCACTATCTTTGCACCCCAAGATGTTGATACTGGAAGGATTCTGCGATGGTATTAGCCAGAGATGTTGAATGGGAGATGGTTAAACTCATTCCTTTGGAGATGGTCGTTACCTGGCATTTTGTGTCATGTGAATGTTACTTAATTTCACTAACCCAGATCCAGATATTTGGGAGCGTAAGAATAGGAATAAACCATTCAGCGCCTCAAGCCTTTTCCACTATTCAATGAGATTATGGCTGTTACCGAATTCCATATACCTGCCTTTGGCCCATATCTCTTAATACTTAGCTGAACAAAAATGTATCTCTCTCAGATTTAAAATTTAACTGGTCATGCATTCACTGCCATTTGTGGATGAGAGTTCCAAACAACCACCACCCTTTGTGTGTTGAAGTGCTTTCTCACATCTCCTAAGCAGTCTGGCCCTAATTCTCAGACTATATCCCCTAGTTCTAGAATCCCCAACCAGTGAAAATAGGTCATCTTTATCTACCCTATTTTTTTTTTCTGTTAATATCTTGAGTTTGATCAGAATACCCCTTACCCTTCAAAATTCTAGAGAAAACAGGCCTAATTTGTATAATCTGTCCTCAACTCAACCCGTACACTTGTCAAATTGGTCTGAAGTAGTACATGCTGTTGGGAAAGAGAATCTGCTTACACCCTGGATTTTAAAGCAGTTTTATGTGACGCAAATAATCATTCAGACCAGTCAATGCTTTATGTTTAAATATATTATCCCATTCCCTCTTTAGTTGCTGTCCATACACACTTTCCCTGCTGATGGTGTATTTGAGACTGACTACCTGGGGAAACAAAATCTGTTGATAATTACAGATCTTGTGATCATTGATTTTAAAATATCTCCACATATTTGCATAGTTTTTTTGACAAAGAAGTAATTGGCAGTGCTCAAATTGTAGTTGTGGTGCACTTTAGAATGACTGATACAATGTTGTTCTTAAAGAAACCATGCAATGGACAAAAATTGAGCAGCTCAGTTGTAATAGCAGTTACATGCTTAAATAACAAAACATTTCTGTGGATTAGCTTGGTACATTGGAATGAAGTATCTCTTAACCCAGTAATTTATCTTCTTTGGCCCAAACAAAGGAAATGGATAAATCTCTAACTGCTGCAGTAAAACCAAATTGCTGAAAATCTTAAGCAGGCCTGGCAGCCTCTGGAGAGAGAGATAGTTAATGCATAGAGTTGAATTTGACACTCTTTTCAATAACTGCTGCCGGATTTGTCAGTATCAGGATGACTTTTTTCTTCCTTGTTTCTAAGATCTTTTGAAACCCATCTATCAAGAGTTGAAGCTGAGCTTTTGCGAAGAGAGGCTCCTCCATCCTACGGCCAGTTAATTGCACAGGGCTTGATTCCCCCAGTGGAAGATTTTCCTGTTTGCTCATCAAACCAGGTAATAACTTGTAGATTTTTGGTTTTTCTTGTAATTGATACATTCCTGCTCCAAGCAGTCTTTTAGATTTTTTTTTTTTGTACAAGTTTAGATTCTGGGACTGCAAATGCTTTTTTCAATAAGGTTGTAATCAAGTGAGTCATGATCTAGAATGTAAACTGGTGAGAATTTGAATACAAACCCATGGACTTATAATTAAACAGAATTTGAAATTGCTGTGCCATTGCTTTTTCTGGAATCATACCTAATTATTGGGTTTTAAGTTGGTTGTCTTCACAAGATGTTTACTGCTGGGTAACTTGTAGTTTTGCACGTCAGGTGTTAGGACCAAATACAAAGATCATAGCAAATAATAATAAAGTTTGGGCGCTGCACCATGGAAGAGAGACTGAGGCTAGGAAAATATTGGGTCCAAGAAAATTTTCAGGACGGAACATCACTGACATGAAGGGTAGGATGTTGTGAAACTGACATGTTGGTTACTTGATTGGTAAATGAGTGGTATATAGTTGTATGATTCTACAAGCACACTGACTAGAGAGGGAAGGGGGGATGCTGCAAGTGCAGTGCTGTTTACGCAGTGAGTGCAGAATCATTGGCATAAGATTTGTTTGCAAGGCGTACGACTCGAACAGTATAGGAAGAAGAGCTGGCTGAAGTTCATGCCCTAAACATACAAATTAGGGAACAGTGTTGTTTGAGGGCACACCTTAAAAAAAAAAAAAACTGGGACGTAGAGAAATAGAAAGCATGTTTCTATTATATCCAGTCATTAGCTTTGATGCTTCTGGAAACGTGGGTTAATGTTACATTTTCAGTGCATGACTTTATCATAGCCCAGCCTGTGGGACAGTTTAAATGGAAGAAGCTCAGGTGTTTTTAATAAAATTTAAAACTCATTCAGTTCATTCACCATTGTTGGTGTAAATCTTATCGATCTCCAATAACTTTCGACAAGACATCCAAATCAGGTACACTACACAAAATAAACAGGATTATACAGCAGAGGAAGATTTTACAACCAAACAGGACTTGGGATAAGAGAAAAGTGGAGAATAAACTGCTCGTAACTTCATCCACAATGTTAGGAAATGATGGCAAAGACTGGGCAGAGGAATTGGTACGAAGGAGGAAGATGATTTGGGAAGATGGACAGCACAGGAGAAAGCAAATGAGGGGTAAAGAGGTTTAGATGATTTGTAATTGGGATTGTAATATGTAATTTTTTAAAATCCCTTCTCTTGCTACACTTTTAAAAACGTTCTATAACTATAAGATTTGGATTAGGTTGGCTGTCAATATTTTCTCATGTTTTCTGATGCCTCTTATTTCATTTTGCATTTCTCCTTTGAACTAACTACATTCAGTTGGCTATTACTATCATATCAACATGACACTTGTCATGTGCAGCTTTTTGCTACTTCATTAAAATCACCACCTTGTTCATTTTCCAATTGACTTTTTATTTTATATTTTCCAAAACAACCTGTTGAGAGGTTATTACACACCTCTGAAGTAAGTGAGGTTTGAACCTGCTCCTCTGATGCTGCTTGGCCTGCTGTGTTCATCCAGCTCTACACCTTGTCTTTGATTCTAGGTCTCCTGACCAAAAGTTAAGGTCACTACTATTATGCCATATTGAGAATGTACCTCACGTATACCCAAAACCATCTGTTTAAAAGTCACCTGTTGGTCCATTTCATTTTGCTCTATCAATCTTTCTTTCCACTTTGAGTGGAACAGATCTGTTCAAACCCCATTAAAATTGTCCCTCCTCCAGTTAATTACTTGTATTCTAGATTGCACCTGCCCCTAATGGGTAATGGGATCAAATTATGACTGAACTCTCTAGAAAGGCAGAGGGGTCTGTGGACTTGGAGGCATCATATTGGCTGGTGAATAAGCTATGATTGTGGGATGGATGCTGAGGCAGGAGCAATGAAACAAGTTTGTTTTTTTCAGATCTTTAAAATTAGTTCACATCCAGAAATCACAACTTGCTCACTGCCCCATTCCAAACACTTGTCTGCACTGCCACCGACCCCTGGTGATCTGGAAGTGATGCCACCCACCCCAGCAAACTGAGACACATAACTAGCTAGCAAGGCAGAACACTGACACTTCACCGGAGGTGCACTGATGATGTTACCTAGTATGGTAACAAAACATCTGACCAAACTTACCAGCTCGGCGAGCAAGTCAACAACCACATCAACAACCCGAGATACAAATCTTCTCAAAAACATTGACATATCTTTTTAAAGTATGATATCCAGAAATAGATATGATATTCCATCTCAGCCTAAACAGTGATTTATAAAAAGGTTTAATACCTCAAGTAATTGTAGACTGAATTATACCTTTGGCTGTTTATGTTTAACAATAATTGCAACTTGCTAAAAAGCATGGAGGTTGGTCACTGATGGTATGCCAGAGACAGAGAATTGTATAATTCACTTTCATAAGTAATTTGGAAACAACAACATAGTGACATATAAATTTGAAGAGTTTTGCAAAATAAGAGTAGTCAGAAATATAGGAAGCTTCAGCTTCTTCAAATTCAACTGGATCTGGAACTGCATGGTTCAAGAGCTGAAGATTGGCAGCTATAGTTTAAATTAGACTCAGTAAAGTACTGAGATTTGCTAACAAAAAGGAGCATGCAATATTGACTCAATGGAAGCATACCAAAGGCAGATGGGGACACTTAGCAATATTATCTCGAAACATCAGATTATGCAGGGACCTGGACAATGACCAGCTTTAATTCACTAGCACCTCTCTCTCCATCACTGCACTGCCTTTCATTAAAAAGGCAAAAAAGATCAAGAAGGCACTGAGTAAGAAACTGCCAGTCAGGTCTCTGCATTAGGTGAAGAGGGAAATATAAGGTCCTCTGGGATGAAAAGAGTGCCCCAGAGAGACAGGTAGTTGAATTAGAATAAAACTGAAAGAACTGCGGATGCTGTAAACCAGAAAGAAAAAAAAAAAATAGAAATTGCTGGAAAAGCTCAGCTTGTCTGGCAACATCTATGGAGTGAAATCAGAGTTAATGCTTAGGGGTAAGTGACCCTTTTTCAGAACTGATCCTACCTAGAAAAATGTCAGTTTATATGCAGAAGACAGGGTGGGGATTGAGCCTAAAGAGAGAGAAGAGCAGTTGGACAGACAAAGGAGTGGATAATGATCTGGTTAAGAGATTGAATAATTATTAATGGGGATGGTTAGCAGCAAGCAGTAGGTTATGTGTAATAGCAGACTGCGTGATAACAAGGCCTGGTGTGTGGGAGTTGGGGTAAGGACATGGAACAGCTCAGGCTGTAAAATTATTGAACCCAATATTGAGTCCAGATGTCTGCAGGGTCCCGAAGTGGAAAATGCGGAGCTGTGCTTCCAGCTTGCGATAAACTTCACTGGAGCACTGCAGCAAGCCTGAGACAGATATGCTGGCCATGTCAACATCTAAGGGGGCACTAAAGTTCAGATGAAGGATGTCACTGGGGATGAAGTAGGGTTTAACAAGGTAATCCTGTAGATTAAGTTAGGCATAGGAAGGGTACCAACCAATTATGGTACATTTCAAAAGATGTCTTCACCTGTCAATCCTAGAGCAAATCTTGCTGCTGGTGACTGGACCAAATGGTGCCATACATTGGTCTCACAGGCAAGAAGACCTATGAGAATTATGACCCAGCAGATAACACAGATACGGGAGCATGGGTATTGAGAAAGTTGGTGACAGCCTGGGAAAAAGAAACAAAGGAAAAGAGTGAGCCTAAGGTTAAAGGGGAAAAAATAACTCTGTTCACAATCCAGGTGGAGATTCAGTTAGAGGAATGAGGAAGGTTGAGGTCGAGGTCCCAGTGGTATGCAATCGCATAGTCAAGGGAAAAAATGTAGTTGGGAGGAAGTGTTTTAAGTGCCAGGACTGAGAAACCCCTAGAAGGCGGAGATCTAGGGGAAGGCCTCCTGATCCCTTGCCATTAGATGGATCTGAACAGGAAGGAGGTGCACACTTGATATACCTTAGCGCACGAGAATGGCTATGGGGGTAGTTAGCAAAGGTTGCCATGGTCAATGTGCTGATTGCTCAGTTTGCTGTCAGCAGGACTGATGGCATTAGGTCTTTCCTATGTGGGGGTGCAGTGACAAATAGATGGTGTAGGACACTCTCTAGTAGGTGGTGAGGCAAGAGGCTGCCCCACTGAATTTTTATGGGTCACTGGAGGTTCCCAAATCACCCTCCATACATCCAAAGGAATAAGTTTTTTTTACCATGGTGCACTAAGCAGACCATCACTTTAAATGGTTTCACCAGGCACACTCAAAGGATACAAAACTGACCCCTTTCAATTTAGATAGCGCCATTTGGTTTATCACTAATTATTGGCTATAATAGTAAATTTAGACTTGGGAAGGAGAATGTTATTCTCAGCCCTAACTTAATGAGGATGTGTAACCTATCATTTGACCCAGTGAACTGTAGTATTTGACAAATGGGCGAGTTAGCAAACACATCTGATAGGTCACTAGAAGTCCTGATGAGACTGTATACTGAGAATATTTGTATGAGTGGGGAATTTTGGGTTAATCCTAGGGACATGCAAGATGATCAAGAGGTGCAGAATATTATCAGTAAACATAAGTCCACCTTTACAACCCATAAACATGACTATAGTCGAATAATGGGTGAAGTGCTCATAGAAGGACTTGCTCCAAAGCTACAGAAACAATTTGGGTTTCTCAAGGAAGCAGAGAACGAAGTTCTGAAGGTGATAACCAGTTTCTCACTGCACCGTGTTGTTTGTCCCTGGTGATGCCATGGGGCACAGTCAGTCCTCAGTAAAGGACTCGCCTTCATCCCCCTCCGCCTACATATCAATGAATTCCATTCACGCTTGGACGTCGAACAGTTTTTCTGCTGCCTCCGCGCCTATTTCTTTAACCACGAGTCTAACCAACCCTCTACAGACCCCTTCTGCCTCCAACACACTCCATCCTCCTGGACACCACCCAAAGGCCTCCTACCCTCCCTCGAACTCTTCATTTCCAACTACCACCTCAACCTCTCCACGCCTCTCACTCATTGCAACCTCTCCCCCACGGAACGTGCAGCCCTACATTCCCTCCGCTCCAACCCTAACCTCACCATCAGACCCACAGAGAAAGAAGGCGTAGTTGTGGTATGGCGCACTGACCTTTTACATCGCCGAGGCCAGGTGCCAACTCTCTGACACCACCTCCTACCGCCCCCTCGATCATGACCCCACCCCTGACCACCAAAACGTCTCCCAGACCATCCATAACCTCATCACCTCAGGTGTCCTCCCACCCATCATTCCCTAACCCCGCACCACCCGTTTGTCTCTTTCCCAAAATAAAAAAGCCGGATTTTTCTGAAGAAGGATCTACAGTGTGGAAACAGGCCTTTTGGCCTAAAGTCCACACTGCCCCTCTGAAGAGCATCCCACCCAGTCCCCCACCCCTATCCCTGCACTTCCCCATGTCTAACCCACCTAACCTAAACATCTCTGGGCACTATGGGCAATTTAGCCTGGCCAATCCACCTACCCTGCTCATCTTTGGACTGTGGAAGGAAACCCAATCAGACAAGGGAGGATGTGTGCAGACTCCACACAGACAGTTGCCTGAGGCTGGAATTGAACCCGGGTCCCTGGCACTGTGAGGCAGTAGTGCGAGCCACTGTGCTGCCCCATTTTTCAAACTGCTCCCGGTGAGACACAAACTCATAATCTCAGCATTGCACGTGCCTCTATGGTGTGGTAGAGAATTTCATGAATGATACCACAGTTGAGAGACTTCAGTTATATGATGAGACTGGAGCAACTGAAATTCTTCTCCTTAGATCAAGAGAAGATTTATTTAAAATGCTGAAAATCACACAGGGTTTTAATAAAGTAAATAAGAAACTACTGTTTCTTATTTCCTAATAGGAGTGATAGTAACCTGAGGGCATGCGCACATTTTAAAGTAATTGGGAAAAGAAATAGGTGAGATGAGAGAAATGCTGATCAAGCAAAATATTGTGACGAGAAGTGCGCACAAAGGGTAGAAGAAGCAGATTCAGTTGCTTTTCAAAAAGTACTTGGATAAATATTTGAAAGGAAGAAAATTTGAGGATTTGAGAACTATTGGAAAAAGACTAGGAAAGTAGGATGAATTGAATATCTTGTTCAAGGTGATGAATGGCAAAGCAGCCTCCTGAGATGTAAATCTATCATGCCACAAGCGGATAAACAATTTTTGGTTCAATTCCTAATCTGCGCTATAATTAGTGTTGTTTGATCAGCAATACATGTATAACAATTAACATTCAAAAACCTTAGCATTTGCTATGATTAAACTTTTGACACTTTTTTTGAGATTGTGGTACAGGAATTCTCATGAAATATTGAAGAGGGAGGTTGCATGCAACTTAATTTTAATAAATATAATTTTTTTTTTTTTTCAGATGTTGTGATTACTAGGGGATCACTTTGCCTTCCCATATTATAGGGGTTGAATGGTGTAGTTGTCATAGACTAATAATTCAGAGACCCAAGCTGTTCTGGGCTCAAATTTCAGCATGGTAGTTTGTGAAACTTGAACTTGATAAAACTCTGGAAGAAAAAGCCGGCTTAATGGTGATATTGTTGTTAAAAACCCATCTGGTTCACTAGTAGTCCACACCGCAAGAATATACAAAAAAAAATGGATTCATTGTATTAGATGAAGATATATGTAGATTTAACATCGTGTTGAACCAAAAAAAGTGTCTGAGAAATTGAGCTCTTTAGCTTGATTAAGATTGCAAGATTAGCATTTGACACCTGGATGTTTTATTCTGAAATTCAGACAAGTTTATTAGTGCCACACATAGCTGTATCTGTATATAGCTGTATGTAGCTAGTACACAAAGGTACACGAGGCAAAGTTACAGATATATCTACACTATGACAATATAGTAATTTAGCAACCCAAGAGGTGGTTGTGTGACTATATTAGCTGTAAACACCTGCCTAAAATTAATTAAACAGAAGCACTTGCTTCTGTGGTCAGTGAAGCTGTGCAATTTGCTGGGCTCTGCACTTCCCTCTCTCCATCCTGCCAAACCTAAAACAGAAAAGGATTTCTTGCACTAGGGTCATTCCAATTGCAAAAATCATCTTGATCAGCTAAGAAATCCTGTAATGACAAGCAAACAAAACTGCAGGACTCCAAAGGAGCAGTGCATAGGTTTAAAGGGGCAAAAATGTCACAAGTGACCCCTGTTTTCATTTAAAAGGTAGGGTTCTCACTTTATTGCAGGCCATCAGAAATGAGGTGAAGTTCCTACTGATTTGACCCCTCCAACCTTTGTACTATTTCCTCAATGACTGCTGCCCTGAATTTTTCTAAATTTATTCTTTCATGGGATGCTGGGCCAGCATTTTTTGCCCACCCCTAATTGCCTGGAAAAGGTGGTGGGCGAGCTGCCTTCATGAACTTCTGCCGTCCATGAGGTGTAGGGACACTGATGGAACTCTCAAAGAGTACTAGGTTTTTGATCCAGCTACAATGAAAGGGCAGGAACATTCCAAGTCAGAATGGGGTGTGTTAGGGATTGTACAGATGATGGTATTCTCATAAATATGCTAATCTTGGGGATGCCTTGTACTGGCATTGGTAGAAGGCTAGTGGTGAGATTCTTGTGTCCTGCACCCTCCACTGTTAAATCCTATTCAATGTGGTGCATTTAAAGAGACAGTATCCCTGGAATGCAAGAGAGAACAGAATGTCCACTGCTCTAGTAGAGTTGGGAATATGCTGGATGATCAAACTGTGCAGTAATTTTCCTTATTTAATTTTGCAATATATAGCAGAGAGAAATCTAACTGAGCATCTGAATTGAAGAAGAGGTTTAACATGCAAAAAGAAAGTAAAACTATATATATATGTTGAGTATTTTTCTAATATAGCATGCTGCTCAGATATTTCTAATTAATTAGTCTTAAGGTAGTTTAAATTTGCAAAGGGTAGCATTTTCTCACTTATTCTCAGCTTTAGAAGTGAGTTTAATAACCAGTAATTACTGGTTATGTAAATTCAGCAGATTGGTTTTGAACCTACCCATATTAGCTTCAACACTTACAATGGATTTCTGCAATGAAAGAGTTCCCAGTACAGCTCTCATCACTTTGTGATGCAACATTGTGTTTTTCTTTTCCCTGTAAATTATTGATTTTGTGATTTTATAATATTTGTTTAACCTTCCGTGGTTATGCTTCATTGTTTGTTCTGTTCTTTACAATGTTTTGTGGATGTAAAAGTTCATTTATTAATGTAATGCCTGTAATAGCAGTGTAGCACAAGTTAATGTCATCTGCAGTGCAGCTGTTCAAACAAAAATAAGATTGTTGTACAGCATTAATAGCTATTTTGTGGAAGTTTGAAATTTCACTTTAACTCAGTGATCAGGATTGCTTAGGAATTTATATAGTGCTAGAAGTGTACAGCGGCCCAATCTGCAACTTGTACTATATTTAAAAAGTGTGTTTGAAAATCAGTCAACCTGTTTTAACAAAAGCTTTCATATTTGGTTGTATATCTTTCATTTGCCCTACAGTACCCAAACACACAAACTACTTTCTCTGCATTAGTGTTTGCAAAATGTTTTCTTTATTCTAATGTTTGTTTTAAGTTTCTGAAGGATTCTGAGAGGCATAATTGGAGCAATATAAACTGTAATTTTGTAAGGCTTGCTGCTGAAGCTAATTCTCTTCAATTATGTTTTAGGCATCCATTTTGGAAAACCTCCGATTGGCAGTACGATCACAACTTGGATTAACCTCTTTTCGATCCACTACATCCAGTAGACAATCTAACCTCTGGAACCGCGTCTTTAGCTTTGCAAGATCCAGGAATTCAGGATCTCTAGCACTTGTGTCAACTGATGGAGGTGACGCTACTGGTGCGCAGCATGCTACAAGAGAACCAGAAAGGAGCAGTCTGCACAGAAGTCTTCTGACACTCGATTCTGATGATGCAGATAGAGATGGTGAGCAGAGAGATATACCAGGGGCGATTGGTGGTGTTGTTGCTCCTCTACCTCAAAAAGCTGCACCAAACTCTGTAGTAGAAACTATTGTTGGAGCAACTGGAATTTCCGCTGGCTGCCATACTAATACTACTACTGACATTGTTCCTCCACAATCGGTAAGCTCAGAGCAGCCAAGCATTAGTCCAGCAAGACAGCAGTTGAGCAGCGCGCTAAGTAGGGTAACTCGGAGTTTGCGCAGAGTGCGGATTTCTATTGGGAGATGCAGTTTGGCAGGACAGAACCAGAGTCCCTTGAGACAGCTTGATAGAGTGCATGGAAGAGATGATGACGATGATGTTGAATTGTTAATTCCAATTTCTGATGCAGCATCAGGTGTGGATACAAGGGACCATTGCAGACCAGTAACTGAGCCTGGTTCTAATAGGGTGCAGGAATGCAGGAAGAATTGTGTTTCAACTCCTCACAGAGAACAGTCTAATAATAGAGATGGACCTTGCACGCACTGTGGGATGGTCCATACAGCCCAGATTCCCGAGGAGTGCTTTGAAGCAACATTAAAGAATGAAGCCAGTGATGATGAATCCTTGCTTGTCTGCTAAATATTCAGTACATCAACTAATTTTATTTATGCTCCTGTCATTACAGTGCACATTGTGACTTTTACATTCTTTCAGTACTTGGAAAGAAAACTGGATTTTTCTGACTGCCAGATACAATATTTATTGTCTTTTACTTTTGTTTATGGGAGTCAAGTAAATACATGGTAACATGTTCCATGTGGTAATTTTGGTTTGCATTATGCATTCAAAATATGAATGTATAAATTCGTTTTAATATGTAGAATGAAAATAAATTATAACTCGAGTTTCTGCATTTACACATCTTTTTCATAACTGTTTCTAAAATGTTGTCTTTATTTATTGCTGTTGTTCTGAATTGCATGTTTTTTCATTTTTGTTTTTAACCATTCAGATTTATTAGGTGCCCCAAAAACTGAGTCTGGAACCTGAAGAGTGATGCAAACAAATAAAAACCTACTTTTACATTGAGGAGAATTTTTTTTTTTTTTTTTTTTTTTTTTTTTTTTTTCCCTTTTTCTCTCTTTTATCTCCATGCAATAAAATAACCTTGCAAGAAGCTGAAATATTTGATCAGGTGATTTATGAAGCGTATTTTCTTTGAATAAATTTAAGTTATTTTTTTCTCACCTTACAATTGTCGATTTACTTAATTTTAGGGTCTTAAGGGGTAGTTTTCTCAAGTTTGGATTTTGAAAAGGTTGCATCAGACTGGAAAGTAGCAAATCTAGCCCATCTTCACGAGAGGGAGGCAGAAAACTGGAAATTATAGGCTCGTTATTCTGATGTTTGTTGTTAGAATTAATTATTTAGAAGGTTCTGACTGGTTACTCAGGAAGATGTCAAGGTAATTGTGAGGAAATGCAAACCATTTTTAATCAATTTACTGGAATACTTTAAAGGAATAAACATGTTGTCCATAAAGGAGAATCTGTAGGCGTACTATACTTGGACTTCAATAAGGTAAACATTAACGGCTATTGCAGAAAGTAGAAGGACTTGCTATAAGAGAGAAGGTGTAGAGCTGGATGAACACAGCAGGCCAAGCAGCATCAGAGGAGCAGGAAAGCTGATGTTTCAGGCCTAGACCCTCCTTCAGAAATGGGGGAGGGGAAGGGGAAGGGGGTTCTGTAATAAATAGGGGGAGGCGGATAGAAGATGGATAGAGAAGATAGGTGGAGAGGAGACAGACAGGTCAAAGAGGCGGGGATGGAGCCAGTAAAGGTGAGTGTAGGTGGGGAGTTAGGGAGGGGATAGGTCAGTCCAGGGAGGATGAACCGGTCAAGGGGGCAGGATGAGGCTAGTAGGTAGGAGATGGGGGTGGAGCTTGAGGTGGGAGGAGGGGATAGGTGGGAGGAAGGACAGCTTAGGGAGGCGGGGACAAGCTGGGCTGGTTTTGGGATGCGGTGGGGGGAGGGTTAAACTGTATGCAGTTTTGATCTCTAAGAAAAAGTGTAAATGAATTGGAGACAGTTTGGAAGAGGTTAACTAGCTTGATACCTGGAATAAGTGGGTTGATTTGACGAAGGATTGGACAGACTAGTCTTGTTGAGAGTTAGGGATGATTTGATTGACCCCGAAAGGTTTCAAAAATGTGGCTATGGAAATGTTTCCTTTTGAGAGTCCAGAACCAAGTGATAATTTTAAAAATTAGGGTCACCCTTTTAGAAGAGAGATGACAAGAATTTGTTTTTCTCGCAAAACATTGCGTGACTTTGGAATACTCTTTAAGAAGGCTAGGTCATTGAATACTATTGAATCAGCGGTAGGTAAATTCCTGTAAGGCAAGAGAATCTAAGGGGGGAATCTAACATTATTGGGGTAGAGAGGAATGTGGAACTCAACACAATTCAGCCCTGGTCTTATTGAATAGCTGAGCAGGCTCAAGGACTGATCTACTTCTGATTTATATGTTCTTGTGTATTTCATGAAATAGTCATGCTACTCGAAGGTGAGCATGTGATGTATGTAGATGAACATTCTGCCTAAAATATTTGATACAGCTGGTTCAGCTTTTGAGGAAGGTAGGTAGGCATGCCTGCCTGGTTATATTCGTAAAATGTAAATTTCAAAGCAATAATGAGTTTATTTTCTTAATCGGTTCAAACTTAAGAATTGCAGACAAGCCAGAATATTGTTGAAAGAAAAATGGATTTGCAAGAAAACTTATTGAAGATTTATTCCTAGGTATTTGTATGGTTGAAGTGAGCTGAAGAATCCAGTTCACATTTCCATCCTTTGTTCATTGCTCAACAGCAGGTGAACAGATTTTGTGCATGAAATTTATCAAGCAGGGAGTATAACAGTTTTTTTTTGACTATTTCCCATTATACCATCCAGCCAGTTCTGATCAGAATTGATTGATTTGTTTCCAAGACCCTTGCATCTGCTTTGAATTTAGCTTCACAGCTCAATGCTTAAAGCAGCTGGCAATTTCACTCCAGATAATTTATAGGCAAACACCTTGTCTCTGGATTGTCAGGAAACTTTGAATGTATTTGAACATGGATCAATGTCGTTGAGTCAACATTGTTTGTTAATGTTGCTTTGATTCCAGCAACTTTATGAAAGTGTTTTATGAATCTGGAGTTTTTGCCTCCCCTTGGAAGTCAGATTTTTCTGTTGATCACGCCACATCACGAATTAGTCAAAACAGAAATTGTCACTACCATTCTCTATAGCATGCTGCAATAATGTACTGTTGGTGTCTCTTCACCATTAGCCCATCACTGCCACAAGGTTGTAATTTTACTTCACAGAGATTGAGTGCTTTATGCTATGGTTTGTTATTCTGCATTAGGTTGAACTACTACACATCCACAAGCTAATTATACAGGAAGTCTAGGTGAAAGCATACAAACAAGGAACAAGAGTAGCCCTTTGAGCCTGCTTCTGCATTCAATAAAATTGTGGCTCATCTATTTTAACCCAAGTCTATATTCCTGCATTTCCTTGATAATCATTCATCATGGTGGCTTAGTGTTAATGTACCCTGGGCTAGTAATCTAGGTGCCCAGACTAGGGCTCTAGAGCCATGGGTTCAAATCTCATGGAATTTAGTTGAATTTAAATTCAAGTAATAGCTCCTGAATTTAAATGCTAGCTTAATGTTGACTACAAAAACATTGTAACAAAAGCCCATCAGGTTCATTAGTGTTCTTCAAGGAAGAAAATCTGTCATGACTGAATGGACTAGCCACATCAGCCGAGGTGTCACAAACAACAGCCAGAAAAATATTCCTTGCTGTCATACATGGGCTTGACAAAATTTGTCCCACAAACTTGTTGAACAACAGCTTTTCATTGTCTATATAATTCTGTGTGTATGACTATCCCAGACACCAACCACCATCTCTGGTACAGATCCAGAGGTGATGGCACATTGTTATACAATAGGAAGAAAGCTACCCTAGGAGTTCCCCGGTATTGACTCCAGACAGTAGAAAGTCTCATGCATCAGGTCAAACAGGAGTAAGGGAACTTGGTGATTTGCTTTCTATTGACCCTCCTCCAAAACTCCCCTTCAACTGTTAAATCTGTAATCCTCCGTGTTTTTGGAGGAAACACTAAGCGTAGCAAGGGCACAGAACGTACACTAGGTGGGGGCCTTTGGGATCCATCAGCAAGAGTGATCTGTGGCATCACTACTGGTCAGGTCCAAAATGTCATAGCTGCTAGCCTGAGTCTGTTGCAATGATGAGGGAACCAACAAGAGGAGAAAACTTTGTCATCCTCACCAATCTGCCTGCCGAATACATCTGTCAATGACTTTGTGCAGTGGTCGCTCTTGCTGCCTGTCGTTGTGAAGGCAAAGTTTGTCTTCACATCAAGTTGTGTAGCACTTCTGAGCTAAATGGGATAGATTTTGAACAGATCTGATGATTCGCAACTGGGCTTCCATGAATTACTGTGGACCGTAAGCAGCAGAATTGCATTTAATCACAATCTGTAACCTCCATGGTTTGGCATGTCTTCCATTCCACCATTGTCACAAACCAGGGGATCAACTGTTGTTAAATGAAGAGTGCAGGAGGGTGTGCCTGAAGAAGCATTAGGCGTTCATAAAAATGAGGCATCAACCTGGTGAAGTTGAATAGAGCCACTTGTGCCAAACAGTAGAAGTAGCAAGTGGTAGAGCTGAGCGATTACATGAACAATGGTTCTGCTGTCCTGCTACCTCCAGTTGTGAATGCTGGTGAACAATTCAACAACATTATTGGAGAAGGTTGCTCCATAAATATATCCATCCTGAATGATTTGGGAGTCCTGCACATTAATACAAAAGCCATTTGTTTCATTCAACTTGATATCAAGATATGACTGAACACACTAAATGCAAAAGCCAAGGGCTGGACCACCTTTTAGCCTTGGTCCCAATATAGACAAAAGACTTGAATTCCAAAGATGAGGTGAAATGACTGGCTTTGAAATTAAGGCAGTATTTGACAGTCTATGATATTAGGTGGCCCTTCCAAAGCTGAAGTCAATAGAAATTGCTGGCTGATGGGCTGAGGGATTTCTGTGCTATTTGGAGTCCTACCTCATGCTCGGGAATTGTGGCTGCTGGAGGCTAGTCATCTCAGCCCCAGGACAATACTACAAAAATGTTGGAGTTCTAAAATAGTGTGACATATAATCTTAAAGCTATAATTGTTGAACTGTAAATTAAGCAATTTTTATATTCATTAGAGCAATCCTTGACCTTCCAAAAATTATTATTAAATGAAGAGCTGAAAATCCTTTGCAGTATACCAAGTGTTAAACAAAATGTTATTATAGAGAAATTTGAGTTGGCTTGTGTGCTGAGTGCTGAAGCTAGTTTAATGAATACTGACATGTTAAATGATAACGTTAGATAACACACAGTACTAACATATTAAGAAAGTAGTAAAATAATTTGTTGTATAAGATTATATGCATCGTATTCCTGCTAGAATGAAAGGCAAGGCTAGTAGGATTAGAGAACAGCGGATGAAGAAAGATATTGAGGTTCTAGTCCAGAATAAAAAAAATGTCATATTAGATGTAGACAGCTGGATTCAAATGAATCTCTTGAATATTATAACCAGTGTAGGGTCATTCTTAAGAGGAAAATCCAGAAGGCAAAGATGATTTTCATTCAGTAAAGTATTGAAAATGGAATGTAATTTGGAGGGCAGTTTGCAGCTGTAGGTATTCCCATACATGCTTGTTGTTGTTTTATTTCCAGTTAGTAGAGGTGGAAAGTTAGCCCCAAAGAGTTGCTCTCCATATTGTCAATAGTACACATTGCTGCCTTGGTGAGCTGGTAGAAGAGAATGTTCATCTTTAAGGAAGTGGTTCATCAAGCTGGCTGTTTTGTCCTGAATAGCAAGGTTTGAACGTTGTTGCAGACACTGTCATTCAAATAAATGGGCGGTATTCTATCACACCTGTGACTTGTTCCTTGTAGATAATGGGTGAGCTTTGAGTTACGCAGCGAGTCATTCATTGCAAAGTATCCACCGTTTGATTTGCTGTACCTACAGCCTTTGTTTGGCTTGTCCAATTGCATTCTTGCAGAAAGTGCAATGACTAAATAGACTCGAAAAGAACTATGAACGGGGATAAGAACCCTACATTCCTGTAAGAGTTGCTGGGGCATATG